GAAACAAATGGATTTAAAAGACTTACACCGCATGATTAATTGATTGTCATTCCATAAAATTTTCCCAACATGAGGGGGAGAAATTGAGTAGTTGGAAAAAATAACATATATTGTAGAATGCATTATTATTATTATTATCAAGTATAGATCCTCAAATATATGGCAGTATGAACTAGAAGTTTATCAAAGATCTCATATTCTAGCTGAAAATGCTCCAATTAGTATAAATAAAAGTGAGACATGCCTGAAGCATGAGAGATTAATTGGTTCTAATATAATTATATCGGATAAAAAGGAGCATAAAATTTAGAAGTCATATTAAGAAGGTATGCACCCTAAAAGAGTGTCAAGACATAATTGATTGAAAAAAAAAAAATCCTAGAAGAGGTTCAAGTATGTAACAGCCCCCATAACAAGTACACAAATACTTAATTCTAAAACAATAATTAATTCTTTAAAAATCAATAAATAGAAAAGAGTTAGCCAAAAACATTTAGGAAGTAACTATGGTAGGAAGAATAAATCATATAATTAAGAACTACCATAGTTATATAAAAGACCTCACTAATCACTTTGAAAAGTCAGCCATAGTAAGAAGAACAAAACTAATTAAATAGAAATCCACCATAGTCATTAACAATTTATATCCATAATAGAGCAGTAGCAACTATTCCAAAATAGCAAAGATAATTAGTGTAACGAGAAATAATCAACACTAGATTTTTCATGTGTGTATCAAATCTATCATGAATCTCTATGATCCCAAAAATACAACTAAAACCAATAATGAATAGGCTAGAACATTTGAAGTTCACCAAAATAACTACCACTACTGTCCATATCAATGGCAATCAAAATAACGTTCACATATATCTTAAAAGGACTCCGTCTACTAGTACAAGTCTAGAATGCAGTGGAAAAAGCCCTAAGTTTGGCAATTTACATCAATCAATGTATGTATAAGCAAACAAAGGCTATACAGAGTGGAAAGGAAAACTCAAGCCTCTGACAACTTCTTCTTGGGACCAACACCTAAACCCTTGCCTAAATATTACTATGGGGTGAGTCAAATTGACCCAATAACCACAATTCCAATTCAACAAGTATACATGGAGTGATTATAAGATAGTTAAGCGGGCAAAGTACAATTTCAAAATAACATATAGGGTAAGCATCTCTACAAAAAACAATATATAATAATTCAAAAAGTAACTTTGCATGCACAAAACCTCATCCACCAGCCTTATAACCTCCTTGTAACTTCTAACAGAACCCATAAGCTATTCACACATAACAGGATTCATCTCTTTAACAAGACTGCACAAAGCTCTCCAATAATGAGGTACAACTCAGCCAAAAGTTACAGAGCTCATATTGGATCATAGGTTCCCTTTCCTTAGAATACGAAAAGGTGTCATGTCCCTTGGGCCTTTAACCCGGCCAAAGAAAGGGCGATACCGAAGGCCCTAAGAATGTTAAAGCCAGCCACTAGGCGCCAAGTGGTAGCTAGACCACGCGGTATAATTAATTAAACCTCCCACAATTACATTTCAGTATAATCCAATACAGCTCCATAAGCATTCCAAACATTTAATTCAATACAATCCAATATCCATAAAGTATTCTTGGATTCAAGAATCAAATTTTATTCAACATCAACAAGATATTCACAAGATAAAATAATTTATGCCCACTTAACTAATAAATTTATCAAAACATAAATTTGCATATATATATATATATGTTTTTTTTTCACTTTTTATACACAAATAACCATAACATATAATGATAACATTTATAATATCAATACATGCTTATAATCACATTAACAAGCATACAAGATAAATTAGAGAGTGGTTACCTCAAGTTCTTAATACAAGAACTAAAATGGAAGGATTCAAGATCCAGGAGCCCAAACCAAGCTCACTCTACAATAATAAATTTATAAACATATATTAATAAAAAAAATAACTGATATAGCATTAAAATAGTTTATTAATTAAATCCCCATAATTGGCTCACTTAAAGAAAATGTCTTTAGGTAAAAAAAATAATTCACCTGTTCCTCCAAACATCCTTCCAAATAACAAATCCTAAAACTTCTTAACTCTATTCCACTTATCAAAATTATTAATAAGGTAATTCATTACAAATAATCCAAAAATTTCCCAAAAGTGCTTACTTTGATTCTAAGAAAATAGCCATATATTAACGATTCCTCATTTCATCATTACAATCCTATTTCCTTCTTCCATTAATCACTTCTCACTCACTAGGATCATTAAATTTTAACATTTTTCCCAATTTACTCCAAACACCCAACTTCCACTAGTCAAAGTTTTTCCAAAAATTATCAACATTCTTATTCCAACAAAAATCCTTAAAGTTCAAGCATTGAATTTTTAATATTACCTTCAATAAAGTAAACTAAGAGATCAATTTTGAAATTAATATCACCATTATCACAAATCACAATTTTTCATCCAAACCCTAACTTACATTTTCTCAAATCAACCATCTAAGTAAAAATTTAGGTCATAAAACTCTTATTCTAACCTCATAAGCTCCAATAATATCATAAAAATAAGTTAGAAGTCTCAAAGGTTAAAAATCTAACAAGCCCTAACAAACTTTACTTTTCTGCTAAAAACAAAAATAAATAAGAAGAAGGTAAATAAGAAGAGGTAGGGTAAAAATGACTTACCTAGATGAGACCAAATAAGACTCCCTTCTTGCTCTCACTCACTAACTCCCTCACACACTCACTCCCTCACAGCGACAAACCAGAGGAAAGTGAAGATGAAGGAAAAAGGAAGGCTACTGGACGGAGGGAGAAGGGAGAAGGAAGAAGAGAGAAGAAATTAATTGTAGTGGATCACATGACCCCCTATTTCATCCCATTTGATTTATTTTTTTTAATTAAGGAAGGGGGCACGGGGATCGACCCCCCGTTCCCTCGCAAACCGAACATATTTAATAATATATTCTATATATCTTTTTTTGTAAAAAAAAAAGGAATATACAAGGTACCTGAAAATTAATGAAGAGACCTCAATAAATCATATCACAAGATGAAAAATGAAACCAAAAAGATAAAATTGTCAACAATATTTTTTATAATAATATCACATAATTTTAAAGAGGATCTTATATGAAAATAAAAATTTGGCCAAAAGGAAAAGGAAAAGAGAAAAGACGCAATGGAAATATAATTATATTATTTTAATATGTGAAAATTATGGACTTGCAGTCTAAACACATCAAATACAAAGTTATTATGCGACATATGAATATTTTTGTGAAAATAAAGAATTTCACAAAGGTCTAGTGATTATTATTACGTATAGCATTTTGTGGTGAATGCAATAATTTTTTGCATTTATTACTAATTTGGCAGTATATGAAAAACAAAATATATGTCTATTAGATATTGTTATAGCTTATACATGTGGCTCACTAAAAATGAAGTTTACATGATAATTCTTGAAGGATTTAAAATGCAAGAAGCATATATATAGAAGAAAATTAATCATCCAATATTTAAAATATTATGTTGAATATTTGGCTCAAAAAAATGTATTACTAAATAAATAATTTCATATCTTACTTGACCTGTAGATCAAGTTATTGAATGCATTAATGATTTCAAAATGATTGATTTTTGTTATGATAATTTTGTCTACAAAATATATTCAACTAAATAGACTAGAAGTCCCATATATTTATTCTATAATAATATTTACATATATTATCAATATTACGTGTTATAATTTTATTGGTAATGATAAGTTTCTGCAGCTATGCATATGAATAACGAAATTAAAATTGGATATGTACTTCTATGAAACTATTATATGATATCAGTTTGTTCAAATTAAATTAATCATGTCGATATAAGATATATTATGGTGTTTTTCAAAATAACCTTTCTTTGTAGTTTTCTCAGTACAAGTAAAGAATATATTGATAATTCCACATATCCAGAAGATATATTAAATGAATATATTTCAATATAATTTCATGATGATGTACTATGCATAGTTCAACTAAAAAGAAGATATGCTTGGAAAAGCATTAGACGACTTGAAAAATTAATATACTCTATTGTGATAAAATGATAAAGAGTGATGCTGTTGATAGGGGGAGTAAAAGTGATATTGTCATCAGGGGAAGTAAAGATCATACTGTACTCTTTTTCTTTAGCCAATATTTTGTCCCACGGGGTTTTTCTTGCAAGGGTTTTAATAAGGGATCTCTAATATGTATTGTGTACTCTTTTTCTTTCACTAAGTTTTTATCCCAATAGGTTTTTCCTAGTAATATTTTAATGAGGCACAATATTTGTTTTGGACATCAAAGGAGGAGTGTTATAAATATTGTATATATGTGGATGTCCATAACTTCCAACTCACAGGATTCTTCATAGGATTTTTGATCTTTGAATGTCTTAAACCCATAAACCCCCAATGAATGACTTAAGAGGAGTTTTTCATGTTTATTATCATTATTCCCTTATTCATTTCTTTGTAACCTTTGGATTAGACTTTAATAGTTGGGGGCCTATAAATAGAGGCCATGTACAAGGTATTTGTACCCGTATATGTGTATGAGAAATACTCCTTGTTTCCTCTCCCAATTCTTATCTTGCTATTCTCTTTCTACTCTTTAACTTTCTTATTTTCATAACAGTTTATAATTTATGCTACAACACAGTATATAACATTAAATTAAGAAGTTTTAAAACATGCATGCATAACACATAAATAATTTAGAATTATTTACTAATTAACAAGCCGCGTTATTCATGAACCAGGAATAGTGAGACTCGCTTCTGTACAATAAATCACACTAATTAAACAAATATATTATGGATAACATATAAAATATTCACCTACTTTAAAATCTAGCACTATCCCATATAATTATCATTAAAAAATTGAAATTATCATAAATTAATCAAGATCAAATATAAGATTTATATCAAACCAACTAATTACTATTCATAAATTGTAGATTTCAGAGGCCTTTTGGTACACATACCTCTTAGAAACAACAAGAAAAACACCTAAATTCAAAACCCCTAAACCAGCAAGCAGAAGATAATAATAATCAAGGCGTGACCTATTCAGATTATTCCCCAGCCATCTTCCTTCGCTTGCTGTCTCCACAATAGATATAATTCCACTGCTTATAAAATTTCCAGCCCCGACATTACTAACATAAAGTGCAGCCCCAATGCTTCTCATAGCCACTGGCATTTGATCATAACACAAATGTTGAAGCCCCACAATTCCAAAAGCATCAAAAAACCCACCAAGAATATATTGAGGGAGCAACCACCAAACCCTAATTGGCACTATTGCTTTTGGATCATCCAAGAGATTGTGATCACTCGCTGTTTTAACCCTTTTGGCCTCAACCATGGCAGCCACAAGCATGGTTATAACAGCAAAGATTAAGCCAATGCCTATTCGTTGAAGTATTGTGATGCCTGTGGGTTTGCCTGTGAATTTTCTTACCAGAGGCACAAAGAGTCTGTCATAGGTTGGGACTATGGTAATAATGGCGATGCAAGTGAAGCCTAAGAGTGAACCTGGTGGAATGTTGAAGTGGGGTCCAATGGATCGAACCATTGTGCTGCCTTGTTTAATGTATAAGGTTTTCATCTGAGCAAAAACTACACTGGTATATAAGCTTATTAACCATATGGGCATAAGGCCAAGAACCAGCTTCATTTCTTCAACTTGGTTTAATGAACATAGCTTCCAAGGATTTCTAGTCTTGCTTGACGCATCAATGTCATCAATTATCATTGCCTTGTCTAAAAATCTGAAACACGTTTGTCAAAAGTGTTAACAACTTTGTATATTAACTTGGTTTAATGAACATTAGCCTCAAAAGTGTTTGTGAAGGTTCATGTGATGCGATGATAGTAGGTAAGATGAATTTCAAGGAAAACTATAAACATGTATGTAAGGATCAAATTGATTGGCCTCACTTTGTCTTGTCGCTCATCTCTAGTATGTTTATATGCGAAACTAGCATATGCTTCCCGGTACACACGGGAAGCTTTAACATAGTAAAATAACATAATCTTCTTGCTTTCACAAATTATTCATGCATTGAATCCATCTGCCATACTATTATATCTTAATATAAATCTAGATAATTAAAATTACAATGCCAGTCACAAGGAAAAAAAAACTACTAATTAGCTTATTTTTAACATATTTAATTTGATATTTTTTATGTATCAAGCATTCGGTTATACTTGAGCATTTGGACTTAATTAAAAGTAGCTCCAATTTCCTGATGTGATTTTCTCTATCCACATAAGTTTTCAAACTTCTGGTTAATACTATTTAACTTTTTTTTTTCCCCTTCAGATGGGCATGCCAATTCAGTTAATTAAACAATATCCTCTCCTTAGAGATGGTCATAACATCAATGTTTGATAACCCAAGGATATAATATTGCAACAATTTTAACATTTGAGAGGTAATGTTAATCATATACCAGTATGTATTGTAGGGCCATCAATAATATTCCTCAAACAATAATTCAGGAGCAAAAATACTATTTAACCCTTGTCAAAATGGTTATTTGATAATTCGGATAGTACCTGAAATGTTTGGTGTGATCAAAAGTCATAGATTGAGGCTCTGTAAGTATGCCACCATTGGATTTATCTCCATAACAAATGCCTCTTCCATCGCGCGTTTCATCTACGCGCCACTTTCGAACGGCAGCTACCACCACCTGTGCCATGCTGGTAAAAGGACTTCCCAAGGGCCCTTGTTTCTTATAATTCCTTATGCCTAACAAGAAAATACCAAATCCAACACCCATAACTGCTGCTAATATGCTAAACCCTATGTCCCATCCAACATTATCCTGAATTTGCAAAATGCCAAGAAAAAATAATAAGATGAATCACAAAAAGAATATGAAAAAAGAAAAGAAATGATAGTTAATATTCTATAATTTTCCCTTGGAAGTTATCTTAGTGGTGGCTCACTAATGCATGAGTATAGAACCTTTTGTATTGGCAAATAGTATATTTTTTAATCATTCTCTTAATTTTATACCATGTTTCAGTTTGATTATCATTTAACTTTGTTAAGTTTTCTTTTATATTCATTTTTAATACCAGCAAACTGATTCCACCTAATTATATAAGGCTACAGATCGAGGTTGTTAGTTACTATTAGAAATATACGTTCAAGTAGTATTGAATTAAAACTTCGTATAAAAATTATAGGACCGATTATGTGCATATTTATATAAGTGTGTGTATATAATTGTAATAGTTAGATTTGAATTATTTTGTTAGCATATGTAAAACTTCATGTCCTTAATATAAAAGCTAGTTGACTAATTTGAGTAGATTAAGTAAATTAGTTAAATTAGTTATTTGTAATAAATAAGTATTGTATTATCTAAATTATTCTTGCTAATCCTATGCATTACTCTAAGGACTATCTTAAAAAAAATAGATAAATATGATAAATAAAGTAGATTAGGATCTTATATTTAGAAGCAATTAAATGTTAAACTAGCTCTTATATTAAGAACCAGAAGAGGTAGTACCAAAATGGACAAATTAAATTAAAAGAAGAATATGATGATGAAACAGTACCTGGATATAAGTAATACCACAAATGGAAGATAAAACACCAATGGCAAGTCCAAAGTACCACCAATTGAAGAATGAGATCTTAGCCATAATCTCTTGAGGCGATGACTCGTCGAACTGATCAGCAGCAAATGTTTGGATGCATGGCTTGTGCCCTCCTTCCCCCATCGCTACTATGTAAAGTGCTATGAATAACACCAACTTTCGACTCCCTACAGAAATCACTGGCGACGCTGATACTACCAACAAAACCATTCCCTGTGTCCATCCATATATTGATGCAGAAAGGGAGAGGGGAACGGGGAAAAGATCAGAGAGAAGAAAGAACCAAGAGTAGAGAAAAGGCGAGAGAAGAAAGTAACTGTAATCTGATTCAATGCTCAGAGTTTGCTGGGAAAATGAAAACCGTAAAATTTCTAATAATAGTAAAAACACCTAATCCTAATAATTAGAATAATGCTCAGAGTCTTCACTTAGCTTCTACATTTAACCACTAATATGACAAAGTACTACTTTTGGTTCTTAATATAGGAATCAGTTGACTTATTTAGAGAGATTAAGAAAGTTAATAAATTACCTTAAAGTATTTATATTTATTATTTTTCTCCAAAGTAACTTGCTACTTTTATAAATTGATATATACTCTAATGATACATGTAAGTATTTCAGATGGATCATGTAACATATGCTATAATTAAGTAATTTAGTAACTTTCTTAATCTTTTCAAATTAGTCAACAAAGTATTATATTAAGGACTGAAGGTAGTAATAGTTTTTTGGCAATTGAGAAATGAGTAGGTATATATACCAGCAAATAGATTATGGAAGAGACGATGATGATGTTGAAACGACCGAAGTAGGAATCAGCTATGAAGGCTCCAACCAAAGAACAGACGAAGGAGACACCAATCCATGTGTTGACATTCTTAGCAGCTGTCGATGTTGTCTCTTCCAACACATTGGTGAGATAACTTATCAAGTTTCCAGCTATACCATAGAATGCAAATCTCTCTGCCATCTCCACAACTGCTTGCAGTTCACCAAAATTAACCATTTATATGAAATTTGCTTCAAAAACATATATAGTAGATGCATTTGTATTATGAGTCTCACATTAACAAGGCTCACAAATTTCGCGTGGTTTATAATTAAGTTCAAGAGGCTCTTTCTTGTAATAGACCAGTCTTTTAGGATTAGGTTTTTCTTTTGGACTTGTGCTCATAACAATGTATTTCTTATTATTAATTAAGTTTTGAACTTCGAATTAGAATGAAAAATTGGACATTTTTAATTAGGGCCTAATTGTTAACCAATTTTATAATATAATTTACACTATAAAATGAGTCTTACATTTAAGATCGAAGAAGTATATGATTTGTGGCAAGAGGTTAGAGAGAGAGAGCATACATATCATGAAGATGGCAGCACTCCAGCCACCTTTAGAGGGCTTGTGATCACTTGAACACTTATTTCCCTTTACTGGACATGTCTCGCTACCCATTTCTGCTAATTAAGTTCTGGAACCACTCATCAAAATGTGAATAAACTTTGGGGTTTGTCTTTGATCATACCCTACACACACATTATATGTATATGTATATGTATATATTTAATGTTTATTATATGTGTGTGTGTCCACACATAGACAGACAGGTACACAAAACATTGCTAGCCATATGGTATATTTTGTGGTTATTATATGTAGGTATCAATAATGAAATTTGGCCGTGAATGTTAACAAAAAGGTAATGTACCTGGCACAAGCCATGCATTTAAGAATTATATTACAGGTCTTTAAAAAGTATGGATAGCCAAGATTCCTTTGTCTTTTTGTTTTTACTTCCCCCCTTTTTTAAAAACAATAATTTTACAAAGTTAATTCTTATTGCTATTGAATGGATACCAGAGACACACAATAATTTTATACTCGATGGGAGGTGACATAATTTTCACTAGACTGTTAATTAAACTGGCACGAATATTCTATGTTTATAAATTAGGACTCCATTAAGTTTACAGGACTAGGCGAATAAAATTTTAATTATATACTACCCCTGGTCCTAATTATAAGACTATATTTGTAGACTAGAAATAAGGTCTTATAATTAGAACCAGAGGTATTATAATACTATACTCCTTCAATCCTAAATATAGGACCCATTTTATAGTGTAAATTTACACTATAAAATGGGTCTTATATTTAGGACCGGAGGAGTATTTTTTTTTATATGTCCAATTAAACGAATTTGATTATTGGTAACTAGTCTCTTTTTGATGCGAGTGCTACACTACCTTATTACTTTTGGTTTTAATTATAAAACCTCATTTGTATATTACAAACGAGGTCTTATAATTAGGACCACAGGTAGTATAATATAAACCTAGGAAAATCCTAAAAGAATACTTCTAAAATTTTAAAGTTTCAAGTTAGGAATGACTGCAAAAATGTATTATCATTTACTTTTCAAATGTTATTAATTGTTGTTCAAGTATAATAAACAGAACTGATTTGAAATTTAAAAATTCAAGAGTATTTTTTTGGGATTCTCCCCATAATTAATCCTCATGACAAACTCCACCATTTATGCGCCTATACGAACCTGATTTCTAAAATTCTGTAAAATGCACACAAAATATGAATAGTTTTCTAAACATAAAACACGGAATGATAATTGAATCAAATATCATTAATGAATTATTGCTGATCATAATGTGGTATATTTAGCTTTTAAAAGAGGAAAAAAAATAATTGAAAAAATTCTGATGGTTTCTTTTTACTTTTATTATTTTCTCTGATCCTTAATTTCTACTTCGAAAAATAACCTTTCATTCTTATTTTTTATTCAAATACACAATCCACCAAACATCCATAATCTTTATTTATAAAGCCTTCCTTAATCAATAACGGCTGGTCGCGGACATTATAGAATGATTTAGAAGACAATACATATCCCACGCAACAGCTTTATCCTCAGCAATAAAGAAGCCAAAGTTATCCCCCAAAACACATAAATATCAAACTAAAATGTCGCTCTTTTAATTGGAAAATTGATGAATGGATGCATATAAAATAATTACAAACAGGGCCATCACATATATATATTTATATACATAGTAATAGATAGCCAAAATATTAGTGATAAATCCTAATCAATTAATTGGTACATGCACAGTTGAAGAATTAATTCATGTGTGTGTCTATATATAAACACATAGAACTTGACAAATGCTCGGTACGTTTGCAGAAAATTCACCAAAAAATGGCTGTTCTTCCTTCCATTGCAACAAGGAAATTTTTGCTTGCATCTATGGTGATCATGCTTCTGCTATCATTTGGTATGTGAAAAACTACTTATTAATTAAATATCAAACATTCCTAATGATATTGGGTATATATTTTCATTTAAAATGGTTTTGATAAACAACTAACGATATAATAAATCTGTACTTACACTCAATCAAGTTATCTAAACTGTTATTAAATAGTAATTCTATGATATACATTATCATTACATCAATATTGAGTCATTTGATGTTTACATGTAATTAATGAAGATAGTTTTTTCTTGCCGGAATTAATGAGGTTAGTTATATCAACAAATTTGTTGAAATGAATAAAATATTATTATATATATAATAGTTATTGACACATTCATGATAATTAAATCACGCCTAGAATCATCTATTGTTATGTGCTCGTCTAAATTGGATAAAATCAAATTTTGGTTTTAATCCACGTAATTTTAAATTATAATTTTTCGTTCTGATAATTTCATAAGGATTCCATCCACATTTTAACGGCATTAACTAAAAGTTAAGTAGATGAGTTAAAACTAAAAGGAGAAATTGCAAAAAAAGACCCTATAATTTGAAAAACACAGATAAGAACTCATGACAACTTCACTATGGGTTTTGACAACTTCATGACATATTATTATTCTCAAAAGCGTGAAGTTGTCAAGAGTCTCTATCTACATTTTTCAAATTTCAGGGTCTTTAATTATGATTTTCTCAAGCTAAAATCCGTTAAAAGTACAGCAACCAAAATCAAAGCTCTAGTTTTATCTCTACACTTAAAGGTATTAACTAAAACTAAATTCTTTGCTCAAAAAAAAAATAAACTAAATTCTTATAAAACTATAAGAACCAAAACTACAATTTGAAACTATAGAAATAAAAACCAAAATTCAATCAAACTATAAAGATCAATAATGATATTAACCCTTATTATTATTATATACGATGATGATGATGCAGGTATGAGTCAAGAACAGTACTGCCCGGCAACGTGCTCTGACGTTAAGAATTGTAATACTTTCTGCTTAGAACTTGGGTACGAAATTGGAGAATGCATTCCACCTGATAATTATTTCTGTTGCTGTGCTGATGATAATCATCGTTAATCCAACTTCATCTCACTGCTTCTTCTCGATCTATATGAACGTGAAATCATGTAATATAAACTTGTGTGGCTTGTGTGTGTGTGTGTGTGTAACGGAGTTTGAGAAATAAGTCGTAATAATATTGTCCATAACGACTCATGATGAATAGCGCAGTATCATCCATATGTGAAAAACAATGAATTACCATATGAGAATATGATTTGAGCGATGACTTTACATTTCATGTCCTTCTACATATCTATGATATCTATGAAATTAGTCATTTTTTTAATTATTAGTTAATATTGTCAACACCAAATATGAAATTTAATTATGGATAGCTTTTTAATTATAATAGAATTTGTATTCATAATCTGTATTGAACATATTGTAGTAAATATAAACATTTTCGGTAATGCAATAAATTGTTTTTAATGAATTTTTATGATTTACAACGCAAATTATAAATAACATTGAAAAATTTTAGAGATGTAATTGATAATTTTGGGTTTGGACGTGATGATGGCACTGGTTTTCTAGTACGGATGCAATGGGCATTCTATATATAAATTTAATCTTAATGAGCGACCAAAACAAAATAATTTAATCTTGACGAAAACATTTTTTTTTGTTTGCTCAATCGCAATGAATATTTTGCGATCACATATTAATTTTAATTTCTTACTTATTTTCAAATATCATGTTTGAATTTTATATAAGTTTTTCTAGATTATATTAAGGTATGAACTCTATTCTCATAAGTTTTTCTAGATTATATATATAAACCATATTAATGTAATTTATCACTCGTCTGATTTAGCTGAACCAATCGATCTTAAGACCAATATTTTTAAGGAATTAATTAATAGCCTAATTTTAAAAAACATTAAAAATGAGATAATTTTTAAACCAGAGAAGGACGCACATAATTCTTATCTCTAACAAAATAATTACCCTACTTTTACTCTTTGAATTTGATGAGTATAATTCAACCACCTCTCTAAAAGATAATTCTATGAATTTGATATTTGTACGTATTTAATGAGTGTAATTATAGTGATGACTCCTTTTTTTAATACATTTGTAGCAATGACTCTACTAAAATAAATAAAGTATTGTTGTACATTGAGTAGTTTTTGTATCATGTAATTAATAAAGACACAGAATCATCACTTTTGGCAATTTTTTTGGCCGAAGACATCACTTCAAATTAATAAGAGGACTTGCGTATAATTAAAGCATAATGACCATTTATATATATAGATATTTATATACATATATAGATATTATGTGCGTGACAAATCATTGGTGCGTGGCTATGTGCACATATTTATGAAAAAAGAAATTAAGAAAGAATTTTAGATATTATCGAATAACATGACATTTTGTAGCAGTTCATCTGACAACCGCTATAAATTAAGTTACCAACGAAACACTTTGTAATGGTTTACCAGACAATTGTTATAGATTAAGTTACCAATGCAGAGTGCTGCCACAAACTTTTTGTGGTCAAAGTGTTGCAAATTTGAAGCGGTTTGGCCTAAAACCACTACAAATCTTTAAAATTGTACTGATTTTTTTAAACCACTACAAGGTAATTGCTGCAAACACGCACTACAAAAAAATAGACTTTAGGCGACGACTTTCGGCGGTGACAAAAAAAGTCGCCGCTGAAAGTCCACTTTCGGCGGCGACACCAAAAAGTCGCCGCTGAAACCAAGACTTTCAGCGGCGACAAAAGTGTCGCCGCTAAAAGTGGACCTTCAGCGGCGACTTTTTTTGTCGCCACTGAAAGTATAATATAATAATATATATTTTATTTTACAATATTAATAAACAAATTGCCGAAAATGGACCTTCAGCGGCGACTTTTTTTGTCGCCGCCGAAAGTGGACCTTCAGCGGCGACTTTTCTGTCGCCGCCAAAAGTGGACTTTCAGCGGCGACTTTTTTTGTCGCCGCTGAAAGTATAATATAATAATATATATTTTATTTTACAATATTAATAAACAAATTGCCGAAAATGGACCTTTAGCGGCGACTTTTTTTGTCGCCGCTGAAAGTATAATATAATAATATATATTTTATTTTACAATATTAATAAACAAATTGCCGAAAAT